TCAAGTAATACAAGATAAACTAGGAATAGTGGCATAAACAAAAAAGGTTTGAATGATTGATAACTAGCTCAAGAAATTGAAACAAGTAGATAACTAAGTGAAATACTGTAATCATATTTGAATACTTAGTAATTCACTGTAAAATTGTTGCTTTTATTTAATAAAACATATTCATCAAATGCCTGGCTTTTACTCATAATTTCAACTCAAGAGCAACAGTTCTGACCTCACTTTCTCAATAGCTATAGATTCCAATGAGACATCTAATGGACAAAAATCAAATATGTCAAGGGGCTCAACTTTTTTGAACTACTTGCCACCTGCACTACTTATCTTTGTTGGATTACTGGTGCACCAGGTATGTACTGTTAATTTAAATTAATGACAGATGCAGGGAGCATAGCATTGCCAATATAGAGAGCAAGGATCACTTTACAGGAAGTAGAGAGGGAAATTTACCCAGTAGTCATTGTGCACCACCTCAGTGCTACAATAAGTTTATCTAAAATAAATGGAATGAAATTAGGTCTCTTGCAATTTTAAAGAGTTCGATGAATCTCAGCCATTTGCAGGTAAAAAGTGCACAACATAGTTATTACAAAGTTCATTCAATCATCATGACCATGAGTTACATAACAGTTAAAAAGACATATGAATTTCACATAAAATATCATAACAGAAATCTGCCACCTAATTTGTTTTTTTTGTGGATTATACAAATTAGAAATATAATTATTTAATTCTAATATATATATGTTAAATACACATGTATTATGTATATACATTTATATATTTAAAATTAATATTATATTTACTTTCCTCAAATTACTATGCTATTATAGCCTCTAATCTACGCAAATGTGCGTTTCATCTATGCATGTTGCAAGTGAAGTGAATTTTGACAGATGTCCACTACTTAGTGAGGAAGCAGTGAACATTACAAAGAGGCATTGCCAGTTAGTATCTACATGTCTATATTTTTGATGTTTGTCTTAAAGAGTCTATTTCATTTGAGCTGCACACCTGTGTTCTATAATAATTAATAAAATGAATGCTTCATTTTATTACTTCTTTTTGAAGATTAAAAATTTGTTGAAAACATGAATGTAATGCGATGCATGTGAAACAATGTATAATATTATGTATTATATCTTTCAGATGCATGTGCAACAAAATCACAATTTGAATGATTTAGGTACTGTTGTTTTCTTGAAAATATTGATATTATTATATGATAAGTATTATAATTATTACATATTATCACTAGATATTACATACGTTTATTTATACATTTAAACTGAAAAAGAATAGTAATAACTGTGTATAATCCATATATAATGAATGTACATTGCACAGTATATGAACAATCAAATTCCTATTAATCATCCAGATGAACCGCTCCGGATTCTTTTGGTTGGAATGACAGGGGCAGGAAGAAGTGCAACAGGAAACACCATCCTGGGAAAAAAAGTATTTAAATCAGAGACATCCTCCTCCTCTGTGACTAAGCAATGTGAAAAAAATAATGCAACGGTAAATGGAAGAAATGTATTAGTTATTGACACTCCGGGTCTGTTTGACACTAGCCTAACAAAAGATGAGGTGATTGACAGAATTAAACGCTGTATCCTACTCTCTGCTCCTGGTCCACATGTCTTCTTAGTTGTGATTCAGCTGGGCAGATTCACAGATGAAGAGGCAGAAGCTGTTAGAATCATTCAAAACATTTTTGGTGAGGAATCCTCCATGTACACCATTGCACTGTTCACTCATGGAGATGTAATTAAGGGCAGAAACATTCACAAATTTGTGCGTAACAGCCCCAAACTGCTCAGTTTCATCAAAACATGCAGTGGAAGATTCCATGTGTTTAATAATGAAGAACAAAATACTGAACAGGTCATTGAGTTGTTTGAACAGATTGACAAAATAGTCACTGGGAATGGTGGGCAGCACTACACCAATGAGATGCTTGACAGAGAGAAAGTGATTGAAGCAGAAATGGGTCATATCCTGAAAGAGAAAGAGGAGCAGAGACAGAAGGAAACGGAAGCTCTGAGGGCTACATCTGAAGGCAAAGTTTTTGAAAAAGAAAAAGAAAAACTGGACAGTGAACATAAACAGCAGGCACGATGGCAAGCTGAGAAAAATGTTCGTATGCATAATGGTGGGTTCTCTTTTCTTAATGATGTAATAGCTTTTTTTCAAAAGAAACTTGAATCTTGAAAAGAGCAAGAAAAACAGTTCACTCAGATCAGGTGGAAACACATGCACTAAACTAAAATGTAAAAACATCAAATATGCAGCACTCAGCAACAAGGACAAAAGGGAGATATAGAAGCTGTGCAAACATGTTCCTGGCCTATTGCTTTATATACTAAAACTATAATGATAAATAACTTATTTTTGTGCCACAATGTATATTCAGGGATAAATATAAATGATACATTGTGTTTGTATATAAATTTTAGGACTTTCTCTAGGTTCTTTAATCATAAACTATGTCTGAATGAGAATGAAAACCAGACTGATTCTCCTTTTTTGTCAACAAAGTTCACAATGTAGGGGCATGAGTCACATGTTATCAACTTCCCTTTAGGCCTTTCTCACAGGAATCAGAAATTATGTCATGCAGGGTAATGTTGGTTTGCAATGGGCCTGTTCTATTAGTATACTGTATTCTCAAGAAACACTTTTTGCCTTTTCTGTTTTGTCTGTTTTCCTATTGTTATATAATTACAGCAAAATAACAGGAATCAGAAATTATGTCATGCAGGGTAATGTTGGTTTGCAATGGGCCTGTTCTATTTAGTATACTGTATTCTCAAGAAACACTTTTTGCCTTTTCTGTTTTGTCTGTTTTCCTATTGTTATATAATTACAGCAAAATAAAATGTTACATGTTTTTCACTCATATGGCTCCTGATATATAAAATAAAGACAAAGAGAAGGAATTTAGAACTAAAGTAAAGATACCTAAAATGAATGAATAGAGTTTAAGAGAAATTTTATTCAGGAAATGTAAAAAAAAACAAGCATGGAAAGGATTGCAAGTAGGAGAGGGAGGTTACAACTAAAGTAATGAGGGGAGAGAGGGAGGGTACAACAAAAGGTACAAATTGTAGATTATGTAAGGTTTGTTAATAAACGTAATCATTTTATAATAGATTTGATTTTATGGATGCTAAAATGAACAGTGGAGAATTCTTAAACAATTTCCAATGGGTCCACAACCCTTGATAGCAGGAAGTGGCTGCATGTTTAGCTCATATTAATCTTAATAAAGCACCTAGAAGTCTGTGCACATCAGATTAAGGGGGCCCTTTTACACAGCTATTTATTTCAGACATTACTGAATGCGTATACAGTCCCACATTTGTAGAAAGTATCCACAGTAATACCCATCCCCAAGACATCAGAGGCAACATTACCTAAACATTACAAGCCAGTATCTTTGACCTCAGTTCTGGCTAAATGTATGGAAAGAATTGTGAATAAATGTGAGGTTATCAGTTTAGACCCACTGCAGTTTGCACACAGACCACATAGGGGGACAGAAGATGCCACACTATGTTGATTTTTGTTGACTGATTTTATAGTAAAGCATATTCAGGACTCCAAATCTTATGCACAGGCACTTTTTGTTGATTTTTACTTAAACATTTAGTAAGGTTCATTTATTATCACATCACATTTCTAGTGTGAATATAAATTCTCCTTTGATATAATGGATCAAAGACTTTCTTACAGATTGTCCAAAGAATGTGTTTATGAATGGCATATTTTCAAATGAACTGGCTTTAAATACAGGGGTTCCAGAGGGTTTAATCTCAATATATACCAATGACCTACAAATTAAGAGCAATAAAGCTGGTCTTTTTAAATATGCAGATGATATAGTCTTGGTGCAACTTTGTTCAAAGAGTCAATTACTGAGTGAGCAAACCTATTTCAAAAATATTAAGGCCTTGAATATTGATGTAAATTCAGTGCCTTGCAAAGCAATGTAAGGGAAATGAAGAGTTGATTTTTAATGTTAATCTTAATGAATGCCATGTTAGGGAAGTTAAGGTTAAATGATCAGGTTGTTGAGACTGTGGAAAGTTTTAAATATCTGGGAACATATTCAGATAAAAGGTTGAGCTTTAATGAGAATGTAGACAATATTTTTAGGAAAGCAACTCGAAGGTTGTTTCTTATGCAGAAATAAGAAATAGTTTTTATATTAGTTGATCTTGGTAATGGTATATAAAATCTATGTTGAGGGTATTTTAATGTTTAATATTACAGCCTTGTATGGAAACTTGGGAGTGATGAATAAGTTGCACAGAATAGTGAGAAGGGTGAAAAAAATAATAGGATGCCAGCAAACACATAAAAAAAAAAAAAACGAATTTACTAATTTCCATCATCTTATACAGAATACTAAATTTTGAGTAGTTAAAGACTTTATTACATGCATGGCCAGTCCATGTTTGCTTTAGCTGCTGGCTAATTTGAACTAAACCGAAATGTGTTGCATTTGTGATTGGAATGCACAAATGGATAGGAATCTGTCTATAATATACAAAAACAGGCACCATATAACATACACAATTGTAATGTCACTCTCCTTAAACCCCTAATCGACTTTCACTGTCAAGCACACTTCAACAGACTATGGACAGATGGGTAACTGCACCTGTGAGTGAGCGCACTCAATGGACTACATAAACCAACATGAAAACCAATTTGGAAACAGAGCATCTGTCAAAACCATCAGTTTCACCCAAAGAGAAGTCGAAGCACGATTTACTTAATTAATATTCCTCCGCAAGTAACTTAAACAGGAGGAATCTGCTAGAATGGTGAAGAAAAAAAATCATTATCTTGCAGTAGCACTTTATCCTCTGTAGGTGGCAGTCGACACCAAGTAACCCTTAAAAAAAAAAACCTAGTAACTTTTGACAGCGAAACCGAAACGGAAACCCAGTTTACACAAACAAACTTCTACAAAAAAAGACAGTATTCAATAGGCCTACGTCACGACGCAGATACTCTCACGATGTGTTCCTCATTTAAAGGTAAAGTTCTAGGCCTTTATGATGGATACATTTAAGGTACATTCATTATATTATGCAGCCATTATAAAATGAGAATGGTACTTCCTTAATATTTGATTCGACAATATATAGTAGACCTACTGTATTTAAAGCAACATCAAAGAGAGCTGGTGTAAAACTAATAAAAGCTTAATGAGGAATACTTGCATAAAAAATGAAAGATGTATATAATAGAACAACTGAAATATTCTGATAGCAACTTATCTGTAGATTACATTAGGGTAGTGGATTTTGTATTTATTTTTTATTTGCATGTAATGTCAGAACTGTGGCACAGCGCAGTTCTTGATGTGTTAGAGGACGTTCAAACTGCAACATGTCCAGTCCGGTTCTGCCCTGTCTCCTCTTCACTGCTTTTGTTATTTAGCAAACGAAAATAATAATGACTGAATGTCAAATTCATCTTTTGTGAGCACTGATAAATTTTGAATGTATAGCAAGAACTTGACTTTTTTTCTTTTTCTTTTTTTATAGTGCAGAGGCAGAGCATTTCTCTTGGACCATCAGTAATGACTTCAAAGTCGTGGATCCTATCTTTCTCTACAATACTACTGGTGCTTTGTGCAATTGTTGCTGCCATTGCAATAGGGATTCAGGTATGCTTGTATGTATATTTCAACCTTTTCTGTTTTTTTTTAACATTTTTAACCAAATGTGATGAAAACGTATAATTTTATGTAAACACTTCTAGATGTTCAGGCAACAAAAACATGACTTGGATGGCATAGGTAAATCTATCTATCTATCTATCAATCTATCTATTGTAATGTAATCCTTTGACATTGTGAAGTGTGCATGACTTCCTTTTTTGTGTTGCCAAAACATGCTTGACTTTGTAATAGAAAGTGTCATGTTAAATTTATATAATATAACTTAAGGTTGTTCATGTTTTATCAGATATTTAAGACATGTATTCAATGTCATATTCTTGTTTATGCAATAGTTGCATCAGTGCATCATCCAGGCGAACCGCTCCGTATTCTTCTGGTTGGAAAACAGGGGTGGGATAAAAAAGTGCAACAGGCAACACAATCCTGGGACAAAAGGTTTTTTAAATCAGAGATATCTTCCTCCTCTGTGACTGGACAATGTGAAAAATTTCATGCAATTATAAATGGCAGAAAAGTGTCCGTCATTGACTCTCCAGGTCTGTTTGACACCAACCTAACTAAAGAGGAAGTGGTCAACAGAATAAAACGCTGTATTCCTCTCTCTGCTCCTGGTCCACATGTCTTCTTAGTTGTGATTCAGCTGGGCAGATTCACAGATGAAGAGGCAAAAGCGGTAAGAATTATCCAAACAGTTTTTGGTGAGGAATCCTCCAATTACATCATGGCACTGTTCACTCATGGAGATCGACTGGAGGGCAAAAACATTCACACATTTGTGCGGGACAACCCAAAACTGCTCAGTTTCATCAAAACATGCAATGGACGATACCACGTGTTCAACAATAAAGAACAAAATCCTGAAAAGGTCATTCAGTTGCTCGACCAGATTGATAAAATGGTCACTGGGAATGGTGGGCAACACTACACCAATGAGATGCTTGAAAAGGTAGAAAGAGAAATTGAGAAAGAGAAACAACGTATCCTGCAGAAGACAGCAGAGCAGAGACAGAAAGAGTTAGAAATTCTGAGGATTCAACTTGAAGATGAGGCCTACGAAAAAGCTAAGAAAAAACTGAACAATGATTACGAGCAGCGAGCAAGATGGGAAGCAGAGAGGAACCCTTCATTTATAATGAAAGTGGTCAATTATTTGAAAAAACTGTTCAACTTTGTCTAAGCCAGTTCATCTCCAATGGACACATTACTTGTCTTCATCAAAACATTTAAAACAAATAATGGCCTTTTCTAGTTTATATGATCACCATATTTCATTCACTTGTGGTTTTGTAAGTGTTATGATTCTTTTGCTAAATTAGTCCTAGAAATTCTTGTATATCTCCATTATTTCCTTATATACTCCACTTGCATCAGTATCTACAATTTGTGTCCATAAATCGTAAAAGTAAATAAAGACTTGATTTTGTTTAGCTCTTATCTGAATTACTTCAGTTGTTTTCACATTATTAAAATTGCATTTGAACATGATATCAAATGTGTTTGTTTGAAACTCAGCATATACGCAGCCAGCTGACGTTGAAGTTTTATTTTCAACTGTTTTTAAAGCATTGATTCTTTAATTTTGTTCAAAATTGTCTTTCTAAAGATGAACAGCTTACATTTTTTCATTACATGTTTAGAATTAAGGAAAACATACTTTAATGCTTTGCATCAACTGCTCAATTAAAAAAAATTACCACATGTCTGCTCATACCTGGTATTCAGTCTGAAGTCTTGTTAGTTTTAGTGCTGCAATTTTGAACATTTTATTACCTTATATCAGTATCTTAGTTCCTATTTTATGGTATCTTAGTTTCTTGGTTTCTTAGGCCTATACATACCCATTGTGTGTGTGCGTGTACTGTATGCGCACTTGTTTGCAACACTGTGTTAAACATAGTATTATACACGACAGTGTTTTCTGAATGGTTCAGTGTTTTTGAACAAATTGGGTGAGTTGACTGATTCAATGACTCATTCATAAACTTCTTTCGTTCATGAATGAATCATCATTTTTGAATGATTTAGTTGAATATATTGACTTATAAAGACAGTTGCAGAATTTGGAACTGTATACTGTTTTTATTATTTTTGCCAGAGTAATGGCAGTATTAAGAGTAATGTGCTAAGTTGCTGTTCCGATTTCAGCAAGTCACTTGTTTCGCTCATGTAAGAATCAGTGTTTTGAATGAATCAGTTCAATTAATCAGTTCACTGAAAAATTCCCTTCAAAGACTCTTAGTCTGTCTGGAACTTGTGAACAGACAAACAAACACTTTTGGATACTTAAGTCTCACTTAAAACCTTAAAATGTGACTCTTTTACACCTGGTATTAACATCCTTTTTTATTGTTTTTTTTTTTCTTCACAAGTGGTCAGTGCTAAATACAAGTATAAATGGGGTCTGAAATGTTTTCATCGGATCGCTGAAACCACATATGTAGGTAATCATTTTGAACAATTATCATTTTATGAAATGCATTGCATAAGTGTGCATGTGTTAATTAATGCAAATAAATCTATATATATTTTTAATGGTTCCTTAATTCTCCAGATAACATTTGGGGTAACTGTATATATACACACTGTATAGGCTACTATAGATGGGTTAGTGCAGTCTGCAGAGGTTAAGGTTATTTGGGCTGGTCTCTAAAAAGATTCATAAACCTACAGGTGTTCAACCAGTATCATTCATTGATTTTGTCCAAGGTTTCTCATAATGAACTTTTCAAGAGTAGTAAACAGAAACTCTGCAATTATTTTGAGATACGTGTTGTTTCTTTCCGCTTTCTCTCTTGCCTCCCTCTCTTTCCTTTCCCACAGCTCTGTTATGGCCTGTTTCAGAGCCTCTGCTTCATATTTGATTTTCAGATCCTCCAGTTCTCTGCTTCTCTGCTCTTCGTTTTCCATTAAGATTCGCTGTTTTTCCTCTTGAATTGCAATCTCTGCCTTCTCTAGCATTTCACTGGTATAACAGCGTCCTCCGTGCTCAGAATTGATCTTGTGTATTTTTTCAAAAAGTTGATCAACCTGCATGGTATCTTTGGACTCATTATTAAAAACATGATATCGCTTCTGGCATTTCTTGAAGAGTATCTTCAAATCAGGATTGTCAGCGACAAACTCTTGGATATTTCTACCCTCAAACTTGTCTCCATGTGTAAACAAAATCATGGTATGCTTATTTGCATCTTCTCCAAAGATCTTGAGAAAGATGTCCACTGTGTCTCTGTCCTCTTTTGTGAAGCGACCAGGCTGAAGCACCAGCAAGAAGACGTGTGGACCGGGAGTAGAAAGGGGAATACACAGCTTAATTCTGCTGACCATCTCCTCTATAGTAAAGCTGGGGTCAAACAGTCCTGGTGTGTCAATAACAGCAACCTTTGTGCTGTTAACATTCTTTGTAGCTTTCCAGCAAACCTTTGTCACAGATGATGATGACAAATTCACTTTAAAAAACATTTCACCAAGAATGGTGTTTCCAGTAGCACTTTTTCCAACTCCAGTCTTTCCCAAGAGAACAATCCTGAGCTCTTCACATGGATCCTGCTGCTCTGGCACTGTTTAAAAGCAATGAACAAATACATTGTAATACTGCATAATGTAATATTTTACATCATAAACATTTATATAAAATTTCACACTGAAATGAATATCTGTTGAAAATGTTTTTCTTCAAGAAGATGTGCCTATGTTTTATATATGTGTTTTTCTTGATAACAAAGCATTTGCTGCAGGAAATACCTGCTTTGCCATTGTCCTGAAACTTGTGTGAACTGTTGTACAGCACACAAGAATCGACAGCAACTGTGCAGCTATGAAATGATTAAATATGTGCAAGACCACAAAGTTCACTGTTGTGTCTTTTAATGAATGCCAGTGGGACAGTTTTAAACTTTAATCCAAAAGCTCAAGTTTGCACCTTGGTTTAGAAGAAAAAAACTGAGAACAACTGCCTTTAATTCCACGTTTCAAGCACAGCTGAAATCAGTATATAAAAATTCATAACAATAAGCTATAATGACAAACTTTCTGTTCATCTTTTTATTTTATAACACAAACATAATGTTTACACCAGAATCATTCATAAGTAAACTTTAACATACTGTTACCATCAACTATAGGCATTACATTTTCAAACAGGCAAATATTCATGTGTTTTACAGAAGATAAAACTTTACCATAGAAATCAATTGCATAAATTTTTTTTAATGTTTAAAATAGTAAATATACATTATTTCTTCCAAACAGGCACATTTGTGTATCTGCATTTCAAAGTGTTTTACATAGATGTCATTTCTCAACAGACTCTTTAAAACAGTTGGTGTACATTGCTATATTGCTATCATTTATTTCTTCATCAGTTTCTTCACAAGATAAAGCAGTGGTACTAAACCTAATAAATACACTTTCTTGTTGTCCTTGTTGAACAGGCTGTGCAACATTTCCCAAAATGTTTCACTTTGAGTCACATCTGCTTCCACCTTTGTTATCTCATCACTTGGGGCTTTTGGAAAATACTCTGGGATTTTACTCTGTGTTTGTGTCTTGGCTGCATACATAAACAGAGCTGCAGCAGCAGCAGTCGCAGCAGCAGCAATGTAGAAGTGCCATGTATTCCAGGACTTTCCCTGCTCCTTGTTTGTTGTCCTAACATAATATTTTTTGTTTCTCTTTCCCAACTGACTGTCCACTTTCTCAAAGAGCTCACTGACCTGACATGTGTTTTCTCTGTCATTATTATTAAACACATGATACTGTGAGCCACATTTTTGGATGAGTTTCTGCAGGTTTTTATCCTCCCCTACAAACTGGTCTACACTTTTATTCTTAAGTTTGTCTCCATATGTAAAAAGTACTATTGTGAACAAATTCACATTTGAGCACAGCATCTTCTGGAGTATGTCCATCACATGTCTTTCTTGCTCAGTGAAACGGCCCAACTGAATAATGAAGAGAAAAGCATGGGGTCCGGGTTCACACAGAGTCAAGGCTCTTTCTAGCTCCTGCTCTACATTTGTATTAGAAGCATCACAGGTTAATAAGCCAGGAGTGTCTACAACAGTCACTTTCCTCCCACAGGCAACAGCATCCCTCCGTTCACTTGTGGATGTGAGAGAGGTGGCGCTGAGCTCTGAGTGAAACTCCTTTTGGCCCAGAATGGTGTTTCCTGCTGCACTCTTCCCAACTCCCTGAAGGCCGACCAGAATCAGTCGAAGGTGCTCCTTCACTCCTGGAAAGATGGAACTTCATTTGTTCAAAAAGAAAAGAAAATTCAAAACTCAAGGTCGGCATTCATAACCAGTGCTCTAACAAACACAAAATGATGTTACACAAACATTGCACGTAGTAAGCATACGTTTAAGTCATCAAGTATCTAAAAACAAAACAAAACAAAACATTTTTTCCACTCAGTTATTTTTTTATAATTTATTACAATTACAATTATGCATTGTAGTATACTAAAACAAATTACAGTGACCCAGTATAATAAAGTTTTTCCATTAGCTAGCACTGAGTGTGTAGACATAAAATATAAGAGCTACTGCATTTGTTATTTTGAATAATAATAATAATTAAGGAATATATTGCTAATCAATGACAATCCAATGATGGATTAACCAATCAGAGAACTTTTCTCATTGAAGTTGGCAGGCTTTTAAAGCAACAGCACCAGCAGCAGCAGCAGCAGCAACTCCTGCCACTACCGAACCGGCTTTCAGAAACGTATTGTTTCTTTCTGCTCTGTATCTCGCTTCCTGTTCAGTCATTTGTTGTTGCAGCATAAGCCTTTCTTTTTCTTCCTCTATTGCTTTCTCAGCTGCCTGAAGCATTTCATTTGTGTAATACTCTTCACCATTTACAGTCACAAGCTGCTCTATTTGTTCAAACAGCATGTTGACCTGCTTTGGATCATTTTCTTCATTGTCAAAAACATGGTATCGGCCACTTGTAGTCTTGACAAAGTCAAGCAGATCAGGACTGTCTTTAACAAACTTATGGATGCTTTTCTGTCCACGCCTCAGCCTGTCTCCATGAGTGAACAGCACCATGGTGTATTTTGATGCTTGTTCACCAAAGATTTTCTGAATTTGCTCCACAGATTTTTTTTCCTCTGCTGTAAATCTCCCAAGCTGCACAACCACGAGAAAAACATGAGGGCCTGGCGCAGAGAGCGATATGCACAGTTTAATCTTTGCCTC